GAGACCAGGGTTTTTGAATGTGAATATATGAAAGCTGTCAGGTGCTGAGGTATCTGAGTAGTTAGCTGAGAAAATGACTTCTGTTTGGGAGAACAAACACAGAATTGTCTCTGTGCTCAGAAATTCAGTGAGTAGACAGACTGGAACATGTGGAAGGATATGTTCAAGAAATTATCCCAAAATCATAGACTTTCTGCATTGTCCTACTATATCTTCAGAAGGGGGACAATGCTGATTTATAGATGTCAGATCTGGAGATTGGACTGAGATCTAGTTCCATCTCTCGAGATAGGGAGACTCCACTTCCTCTCAAAATGGGTCCATACTGCATTTACTCTTTGCAAAACATATATTCATTGAATTTTTGACAATTTCTCTATTTGGATATGAAGGGAAATTGACGTGCTCAGAATGAGATGTTTGTACTGTGCATCTCTAGAGATGGTTTGGGTAAGTGCTGTTCTTGGCAGTTTCTGGGTCTTCTCAAGGATAGTAAGTGCCATAAAGAGCTATGCTTGTAAAAGAGTTTTAAAAGCATTTTCAGGCTTGATGAAGCTGTCATCTTCACCTGAACAACTCAACATCTTTAGTAAGAGCTGAATGTCTAGGGAGCACATTTTGCCTCTGTGGTCCTCTGGAGATCAATAGGCATTTGCAGGCAGAGTTATAAACCAGGTGAAGATGGCACAGCCTGGAGGTGTCAGATTTTCATTGCAGGATTTGTGTCTATTTATCTGGCAGCCAAGAGAGGTAATGCCATGACCAAGGATGGTTTCCTGATGTACCTGCTGTCTGAAGATGGGAATATATTCAACCCATCTCACAGTAAAGTTTACCAGGACATGACTCAACCACTCAGTCACTACTTGGTGTCATCCTCACACAACACCTATCTCATGGAAGACCAGCTGACAGGTCCAAGCAGCACAGAAGCCTATATCAGGTAATGTGTATGTGTGTGTGGACACAAGATGCATTGATACTATAGGTGCAAGAGAACCGGGAAGCAATCTCTAACCCTGAGATGAAGTAGTGGGCACTGCTTTGTGTTCACATTGAAGTAAACTGTTTCTAGACCAGGTTTGCCTTGTCTGTATTACATAGCACTTTATCTTGCATCTCCACTGAGTCTATTATTCTGACTATAAGGCATACAATTGCTACATTCTTTGTCTGTGTGTTTTTTTTAAAAAAAAATTTGAACTATCTGCAATAATATCGGGGTTGGATTATAACCCTGTAGAATGGTGTTTTCCAAGTGTGAAGCTCAGGGACTCTATTGTACGCCACAGAATATGGCATGAGATTAGGTGTGCTAGGGATTTATAGGATGTGAATAGTTCTGGGATAGAGCTGGAGGACTGCAGAGGGGGTGGAAGGAGCCAAAAATGATGTGTACTACTATAATGTTAACGATCCATATTGCCTTTCGTGAGTAGTCTCTGGTGTGAACTATTTCTAGAACCATGCTGAGGTTTATCTTGGAGCAAACTAGCTGGAGTAGTCCACAAAATCATGGACTTAAGGTTGGGCTGAGATGTGAGCTAATTAGTAAGTGTGAGTGATCAAGAAGCTCCTGTGTGGTTTCTCTTCATCAGTTTAGAGGCTCCCTCAGCATCTCTGGACAGAATATTAGGTGTGACCTACTTCTGACCTTAATGACAAATGCTGTGTCTGATAACTTGTGACCAGGAGCTTGCAGTGGCCTCCATTAACTTGCACAAACACCTTATCTTCTTTCTGCCATGACATTTACACAGCCCTGTTATTGAGACAAAGTTTCCTCATAAGCAGACTGGTGACTGCAGTTCTTCCTTTGCTTATTACTTATCTGTCAGGAAATTATGACTGTCTAGAGTCATAAGCTTAAAGTAGTGGAGAGTGAAATCTGACACCAGTTGCATTTTCATTAGCTGGATGAATTCATCTTACAGTATCTGAAAATTACAGAATTATATTTTGGCTAGAAAAAAAAATAAATAAAAAGATTCCCATGATTCTTATTGCAGTGAGTCAAAGGGCATGTGTTATCTGAAATGTACAGGGAGTTACTGTAAAAGAGACAAAATGATCTTCTGGAAAGAGAGGGGTCCATATAGGGGGAACTACATTTGAAAGAAAATGAAAATGTAAGTGTGGATATTTACAGGCAAGACTTTCCAAAGGGAATTTCAGTCTGTAGCTTCAGTTCTACACACTGGCCCTCAACAGTCTCCCCAGGCATCATTGTAGAGTTTCCACACCTCCCTCCCTGACAACTCTGAGGATTCATCCCCTGTGTCTTATCAAATCTAGATGAAGGCGGCACATCATCTAGGCTTTGCGAGCTCGTTTCTAAGGCTGACCTTGACCTACTGTCTTTCTTCCACTACATGATTTCTCCTTCATTTTATGATCTTTGTGCACAGTCTTTGAGCACAGATATGAGTGTCCTTTCTCACGTGGCACTCACTATCTCCTTTGCTGTCAGTTACCTTGGACTTTCATTACTTCTATTTTCAGACCCCTTTTGTGCTTTCCTTGCTTGACCTTGAGCTCTCTTCACTGACTCTGAGCTCTCCCGATTCTACCCTTTCTTCATCTGCTTTCCCAGTTTTCCAATCTCCTCTTTTCTCTCTGGATCCCCAAGCTCTGTGTAAACCTTCCCAAGAAATATCTGTGCCTGATACAGCCTCATTTTGAAACGGAGAGGAAGGTTTAAAACCCAACCGCTTCGGTTCTTTGTTTCCAGAGCCCTCACCAAAGGTTGCCGTTGTGTGGAACTGGATTGCTGGGACGGCCCTAACTCGGAGCCCGTCATTTATCATGGCTACACACTCACCTCCAAGATCCTCTTCAGTGATGTCATTAAGGCCATCAAGAACTATGCTTTCAAAGTAAGGATGAGGGAATTTGGACCCTCTAACATTTCTCATATTGAACTGTTTGAGACACATAGTATGTCTCTGCCCTTTAAGCAGAGACCATAAAAAATAAGTCTGCACCTTAGCATTTCTCATGAGTAGAAGATACATCCTTCTGGCTGGGCATCCATGTTCTTCCTTCTTCAGAGATCCATTTCTAGGAGTTACTGGTTAGGCAGTGCACTGTCTGGGGCAGAGTGTCAATCTACCAGCACCAGCTGCACCCTGGATCCCACTACAGTGAAAATAATGCCCAATATCTTAAAAAACAACTTATGTAATGAAAAGTGCAAATGGGCCTATGGTTTGCATGGCTTTTATATGTCAGGGTACACCCCTAGTTTAGGAGCACCAATGTTTAGGAGCATTGGAGGATCAGATATGAGTGCTTCTATCCTGCATTAAAAGAAATGAGTAGGTCTGGAATCTTACATGTCAGTGCTGGGCTGTCAGCCTTCACAGAACTTCGGGTCTGCCAAGACTCGTGGGTTTTCTGCTATTTTCCATCAGTCCAATTAAGCTGAGATTCACACCAAGCTTCCTTCAGGGCTGCAATGATAGTGATAATGTCTTCAGCAAATATCTAGGGGTTACAGGGAACCACAACCACATCAGGCCTTTGTGTGAAAGGAGGAAGGATTCAGTGGCGTGAAATCTCAGCCACTTAGAGATCGGAGCAAACCTAGTGATTTACAAAGCCTCCCTTCCCAGGCCTTGCTCTGAATTAGAGAGGTGCTCATTCACATGGTGCAGGTGGAGAATGGTGGCACAGGGAACCTCATCAAAGCGCTCTGGGAAGTCTGCGACAGGTTGCTTAATCCAGCTCACTGCCTTGTCTGTTAAATTGTCATTTTTGGAAGACATCAACAGAGATAGCTACACTGCAGCTGAACATGACATTTTAAATAAATGCTCACTTTAGCAGAAGCCTAGGCACTTCAGTTTCCTGAGAAAACATGCAGTTTATAACTTCTAGTAGCACTGGGGTTAATCTGCAGTTTCACTGATGATGGATGTTGCTGTCTTGTTCTAGACTTCGCCATACCCTGTCATCATCTCCCTGGAGAACCACTGCAGCCTTGATCAGCAGAAGGTCATGGCTCAGCACATGACAACAATCCTGCAGGACATGCTCTTGGTCGTACCGATAGATGGAAACAAATCCCACTTCCCCTCCCCAGAGGTGAGTGAGGCCGCTGTAGCACTTTTTGCCTGAGGGTGGGACAAGAACATCTTCTTGCTGGGCTTTTTTGTCACTAAGTGCAGGAGAATATGCCTAGACTGGAGAAGGATGCCCTTGCAGAAGAACCAACCTTGCTGAGGGTAGAGGTGGAACAAGAAATAGGAGTATCTAGAAATAGCTGGTGCACATTAAGACCCATTCTATTTGCTTGCAGTCTGGAGGTCTCAGAGGAGACATCCCCGAAGGACTGAAGACGTTCTTAGTCCATTTACTAAGCCACTTAGTCCCTTGAGGATGTTGCTTTTGTGGGTTGTCCCAGGGCAGCTGAGTATTGAGGATCTTTCCTTGATCACCACAAAGCTGAATATGGCCTTCTTCAGGCAAATAATCTGAATCACAGCTAAGTTGGTTACTGCACATGCAAGGATAGAAGCTAAGTGGATACAAGTCCTCTGTGTTTCTGATGTGATGAGGCTGGACACTGACCGATTTCCTGAAGGGTAGAGGGTTTCCTGAAGGGTTTTGCTCTGTGCTGATGGACACAGCATATGTTCCCCTCTTAATACCTTGGATACTCCGCTGTGAAGATACAGGAGCAGGAGTGGTTAGCAGGACATCTATGATTGCTTCTCCCTCAAAGCCTAAGGGAAAAAAAATTTAAAAAGCACAGGTGGCCTCAAATTGTATCAAGAATCAAGAGCAGAGCATCAGTGCACTGAGCATGGCCTGGACTGGGTCAGTGGTGGGTATGGAGCAGAGCAGTGCTACCTGTGGAGTATCCTTGAAGGACAAGGGGAGGCAGGAGGCTGTGCAGGGCAGATGCCCCCATCATTGCAATGAAACAGGGAAAGCAGAGAACCAAGCTGGGACACTGTAGGCAGAAGAAGAATTATAGCCCTAAATAGGGTTCACCACTATTGAATTATTATCTGACAATTAGACGAAAAGTAGAAATGGAATCATGATATGAAAAAAAAAAGTTGAAAAAATTGTTTAAAAACCCCATATTGTAGTATTTGCCTGTTTCCACCTTTTTTTTTTCTTTTTTTTAGCCCCTTTTTATTCTTTCCTAGGCGCTTTGCAGAATCAGGCTTGTGTGAAAGTAGTTGTAGTTCCCTTTAAATTGCATTTCTTTATTAGAGAACTGATTTGCCAAAAACTAGACCGCAATGCTTAGCTGGAGCTGGAATAAGTTTGTGTGTGGGCTAAAACTGGCAGTTGTCAGGGGAGAAGGGGAGAGAAAAGAGCCACCCAACATATCTTCAATATTTGTTCTGCCTCTTCCTTTTTCTCTTTTCCTTTTCTGATTTTCCCCTTCTGTTTGAGTGTTGCACTCCACTTGACAGAGTTGCAGAGCAAGCAGATCCATGTTGCTCCCTAGGTGCTGCTGCAGGAAATAGGATGAATCATGATTTTTGGTGCTATTGCTTCAGTAGAACCTTTACACTGACACGAAGTTGCCTCCTTTTAATCAGTGACTGTCCCAGGATGAGAATACACCCAGCATGGAGACAGGTCTCTGCAGGCGAGTACGGAGTTGGAAAATCAAAGCATTAAGTTTGCCTCTTGGCTGGTTATTTATCCTTAGTGCTGGAAAGCTGCTGACAACTTTTCAATGCACTGTTAATGCTTTGTAAGCCAGGGGAATAGTATGAAAACTCAAAAGGAGAAAATCATCAGGAAAAGAAATGTGTGATGTGTACCAGGGAATGACCCCAGCCTCTCTAAAGATGTTTTTCCCATCTTTAGGCTCATCCCTGCTGCTCTGCTTACACAGACGGGCATGTGGCTCCAGCTGAAAGAAAAGGGTCTAAATCTACCTTAGTGAATAGATCTGGGATAATATGTTCCAGTGGAGGGGTTGATCCATTTAGTTTTAAAAAAAATTGGCAATGTAGTGAAAACAATACTATTTTCTCTGATATTTTTCCTGTGCCTGCCTGCCTTGTGAAGCAGAGGAGTGTGAAGGGCTGAATTGCTGACCGTTTGTGGAAAGTACCTTGAACCTGAAACACTGTGGAAAACAAGAAAAAAAACCTCTTGGATTTTCCACTTCCTTGTAAAGCTGGCATGGGAAAAGCTGGAGATACTTTTTTTTTTTTTTTTTTTTTTTTTTAGAAAAAAGGGGGGGACCTGGATCTGCCACTAAAAAGAGGGCTATAAAACTATAAAATAGAAGCAGTCAAAGCACTGCTGCAGAGTGTGCTAGCAGGGCAGTAGCAGTAATTAAAAGAAGACCAACACAGTTTGGATTCACACTAATGACTCTCACTGCAGCCCAGGGCAGACATCTGATTTATTAGGATCTGTGCATGGTTGGAGGTTTGGGCTACACAGATAAATCTAAATATCCCCTTTAAATCACTGTCTTTAGGTCCCAATAACAAATTTGAGGTCTGTGTGGTGAACGATCAAAAGCCACAGGAAAGCTACAGGAAAGCTTTGGGACAGCACCAGGATCCTAGGGGAGAGCTGCTGACTGCTCTATAGAGAGGTTTGCCAGGGCCTTTTCCCCACATCCGTGCTTTCCAGACAGATATGAGGCAGAAAGCAACACTGAAATGAGACTGAAACATTGCATGCAACTTCTAATACAGTGGAAGTCCAAGAGCCCTCTGTACTCTTTGTGCTGGACCTCCCTATTCTCAGTGAGGATGGCTCCTTGACTTCACAGACCTGCTTTGGCAGCGTGACCGTGAACTCCCCACTCTGGAGCCCAGTGCTGTGACCTTGGAAGGGCTCTGTCTCTTCATCCTCCTGTAGGAAGGCTGGTGTCTGTGGACTGCACCATCCCATGCCACCAGCTGTCCCACTGATGGCCTCCGTTGCTGCTTCTGTTGCCCCCATTCAGCATCTCTCCTTGAGCCCCTTAGCTCAGGAGCTGCTCCCATTGCAGTATTATGGTATGGCACAACCAATATGAATGCAAGGGTGGCTGCCCTGTAGGGCACGCTGTGCTCAGGGCAATGGAGCACATGCCTCTAGATTTGGTTCAGCAAAGTCCCAACCAGCTTCAGTCACAGCAATCTAAATCAGCAGTTGTCCCCAAGAGCCATCTACCCAGTCTACTTTTGCACCATAGACTGAGGCTGTTGAGTGGAAAGCACCCAGTAGGATATGTGCTGTGCTGGCTCACAGTGTGGCTTCAAGTTCCTCAACTTCATGCCTAACTCCGCATCCATGTCTTTCCCCAAGGCTGGCACAGCCTTTATCAGCCTTGACTACAATGCATCTTCTTGGCCAAAAAGCTTAAAGTTGTTTCCCTCTTATGTCTCAAAACCTCCTTTGATAATGTGTTTCTTTCTCTTTCCTGATTCCTCCTCCCATCCTCTGGTATTAAACACCCATCCTCATTGTTAAACCCTGCTACACTACAGCCTAGAGGTGGTCTGAAAGACATTCACAGATGGAGATGTGGTATGAATTAGTACATCTGGTCTATATATTCCCTTATGAACTTTAATTTGACAGTCCTCACAGCTTCTGTGAAATCTAGGGAGATGGATTTCTTTATCCTGAAGGTGGCATGTAAGGTGGCACTGCTCAGACACTGTATATCCATGTACTCTAGCAAGTCACTTTGGGCTCCCTTTGAAGCTAGTTAACACAACCAGGGGAATCTGAGGTGTGGTTTGCCTCCTGCTAAGTGTTTGTCTAAAGAGGCTGGGTGAATCACACCCCAGAAGTGTTTAGTTCTCTCTGTTGACTCTAAAGGAGGTGTTGAAAGCACAGAGAGTTTGATGAGGTGGATCCCCTCACTCCCACCAGGTTTAAAGTTGGAAAATAGGCCATGGGTACATGGCTTATACGTTGCCACTAGGGGAGGGGTATTTTCAGGTAGGATGAACCCATATGTGAAAATCTGTTTTTAACAGCTTTTCAGCTTCGGATAAAATAAACAGTGCTTTGATTTAAGATGGTTGCCATGCCTCAAATCCCAGACTTCCAAAGGGACAAAGCTGAGTGTCAGAATCATTGCACTTGCAGAGCCAGGCTTGCTTGATGTGCAGTAGAAAAGGTGGGAGCCCTTTTCCTTCAGAGGGCCAAGGCAATGAGACTTTCAGGGTATATGAGAAAGGGCAAGAACTGCCCCTGTTCCAGCAGTCACCATACTATGTGGTCTTGGTCCAATAGTCCTGTAACCATTCCTGTTGTCTTACTTCTTATTTGACCTAGTGCTTGCCCCAGGCGGTTGGAATAACTTTATGATCTATTTGGAGAATATTTACTGAGTATTTCAGGAACACTCGTGCTTCTCCCTGAGACAAGGATCTGCTCAGCAGAGCTGAACCAATGAACCGTCTTTCCCCCCAGGCTAAGTTAGGCCAGAAATACTTCATATCACGTGAAGGAAAACTAAGAGAACTAAAACGAGTGTATGTGTGTTTTTCTGCCTTTGTGTATTTACTGATTTAAAACCTCATTAAAGGAGATAAGCGCTGAAATTCAGGACTTTGCTTCCTGCTACCATGTAAAATGAGAGAGGACAATGCTTGGAAGTGGCAACTTCTGCAAGGTGGATTTGCTCCTCCTGCAGGAAGTGTAGATGAAAACCATCCGTTTTGATGTGAATCTCACCCTTCTGAAAGGAGGTGTCATGGGGCCCAGTGAGTCCCATCTTTTCATGGGTCTGGCAGTGCATGGACTGCTCTCCCTCATGGGAATGGTAGAAGTCACCTGCAATGGGGGATATTAAATCTTTGTGATGCAGCAGGACTCCTTTAGATTTCAAGGCTTGAGGGGACTGCTGTAATCACCGCATTGAGCACCCGGGCTGAGCAGTGTCCCTGGGTAAGAGCAGCACTGAGGACCCACTGCTGCCAGCTCTAGTGTGGACTGTGGTTAGGGCCAGAAGTGAAGGCCATTTTGCTGTGCTGTCACTGCTGATGATACTCAGTCACCTAGAGTGGTCTATGCCAGAAATTGCATCTCCCACTTGCTGGATGGATACTCTGTCCTGAATTTTAATAACCTAACAACGCTTAGGATTCTGTTTCATAATAATGAATCAAGCAATCTGCCCCAAACACTTTTTATCCCTAGTTTTCTTCTGTTGGGCTGTGAAATTAAGAGTGGCAAGGTTATTGAAATATCCTTTAGGGGACATGAGAAAGCAGACGCAGAGAATAATCATGTATAGCAGGATGCTGTCTACAGCCTGCAAAGCAGTAGCAGTGCTTCTCTGGCTCCCTCCACCAACTCCACTCCCCAAGCTAGTCTATCCAAAGCTTGAATGGAGTCAGGAAGGTTGCAGAGAGCTAGATTTCACCAGCTGCTAGTGGGTGTTATGGAAGCACAGAAAAGAACTGGATCCTGGGAGCAAGAAGGATGGAATGTGGATGCAATCCACAGACTGGCGGTTTTGAAGTGAAACTTGGAAGATGAGCCATTATATCTCCCATCTGTGCACGTGGAGAAGGGAGGCAAACTTCTGCTCAGAAAAGGGCTGAGGAGCTGAGTGGGTTGAGGTTTGTCTCGATGTGGGGAGGAGGACATTGCTATGCTCTAAATACTCTTTTTGATCTTTTCTCCCAATCAGTCATTACCCAGTAATCAGTAGCCTCCTCCCAGATGCCTTTGTGCAGCTTTTGAGCGATAGGGAAAGTGCCCCTGATGTGTAAACACATCATTTGTGGTAGTTTGTGGTAGCTGAAGGAAAAAGCTCTTGGCTGCTTCCACAGGTGCCAGGGTCAGATTTCAGCTCAAGCCAAATTTTATGCATAGCTTGGCTGGGTGTTGAGGAGTTAGGCTGGTTTGCTGAGACATGATGCAATTTACTTGCACCCACAAAGAGGCAATAGTGTTCTTCAGAAATCTGTGTTGGTTTAACAAGCATCCTTGGTTTTCCACAGCTCTGTCATTTGAGAACAGTGGGGATTTTTGCTTTTACTGTGGTGGAAGGGGCCAATACAGGATGTCGGTGAAAGAAGGGAGAATGTGCTACACCCAGACCGAGGAATCGTATTTGCTAATTCTGAGATTGCATTTTGCTGGATTAAGCAACACCGTCCATAGCCAAGAGTACCAAAAGAAAAAAAAAGCAGGAATCACAGCAGACCTCCCACTGACTTTACTGGAAGTAGTGGAGCCTAGGAGTAATCCTGGTCTGAATTAACTGATTTTGAGGCATGCATATTCCCTTGAAAATGGCCTCTGGGCATTCACCCTTCTCAGTACGGCTCCCTGCTGCCTCATTTGGATTCAGAGTCAGTCATCTCAAGGTCTCAACCTTCCTCTGCAATCAGATCTGGTGCAAGCTCTGGGCCGTGGTGGCAGTATGTTTGTATGAGGGCACCGTGTGCTATCAGCGTATTCCTGGCACTGGAGCCATACTGTTTTTCCACTTCACCTGGAGGCTTCCTGTAGATATTGAAAGAGGCTGGAGAGAGCTGATGCAGCACAAGAAATGTGCTGCTTGGATTAGGCAGGCAGCCAACTGTGCTACACTGGCATCTGCTGCTCTATGCAAGCCAAGCAGCAAGAACCCAAGGTTTTGTTTTGTTAAAGGCAGTCCAGCAGAGCTGTGCAAAAGCTTCAATGCTCCCCTCAAACTTGTGGAAGTGGGCAAGGAGAAAGTAAATCCCCTGCAGTCCTTCTCCATTAAGAGACCAGACATTCATCCTCCCTCAAAGGCCTCCTGTTGCTTACTGCTTAATACCACTTCTCAGCAGCTGGTCTCTAGGACCATTGCTTCTAAAATGTCTTTTAAGTCTGTAAGTGTTTCCAGGGTTATGGTTTGTGTCCCACCACGGTAGCGATGGTGGAGGAGCCCCTCACAGAAGAGGAGAAACCTTTGGGAAGGGTCTAGTTTGGGAACATTTCTGTGGGTTGTCAGCACCCTCAGGTGCTCTCCATACATATTAAAATGCCATGATTGCTAGGGACAAGACACTGATCCAAAAATTAATGGACTTCTCCCCATTAAACAGTCTAGTGATGCACAGGGCTGTACTGCTTCAGTCCTTGTGTGGATCTAACAGTTCCCCAAGTTGTAAAGCGTTTATATCCATACATTGCAGAGGCTGTTTAATATCCATACAGAGAGGGTCAATAATGGTGTCACAAATACCTCTCATGAGTCCAGACCTCCTGATTGTCCTTGTTCACTGTGCTACATTCAATCTGGAAAGAATAAGACATTTTCCTGACCTTTAGTAGCACTGATGTTCAGGTCATCTTGTTGATAGGATCAATGGTCTGTACTAGAGAAGGATCTATGGGCTAACCAGGGTTTTCAACTCATGGCTGGATCCCAGGGGCTGGCCAGAGGCAGAGCAAAGCCTCAGCAGAACAGACCTACTTTCCAGCAGTATCTGTGGATAATTAATCAGCAACTGATGAAACTCTAAAGGGCCCTGGTCCTGATTACAACCCAGGAGCTGTTATCCCTTGCTCCTTCAGAACACTCAGAATCTTTTGTAACTTGCAGCTGTTATGTACATTTTTCCTGATGCAGCAATTAAAAGGGAAGATCCTTGTGAAAGGGAAGAAGCTGAGCAGGCAAGAGGACCCCACTGGAACAAACGGGAACAATAACCTGGAGGCTGAGGATGTATCTGATGAAGATGAAGCAGCTGAAATAGAAGATGAGTCTGTGAAGACTGAAGTGGAGCAGAAGGGGAAGGTGAGTCAAAGACATTGCTGAGTTCCTGATTGTGGGTGACTTCGAGAGGGAGAAAGAGCATATAAAAGAGATTCTTCCATGTTGCGGAAGGCTTTGAGGATCTGGGGAAATCCCAACTCTTTGCCTGTCTCATGTCTTGCGGTGGCACTTTCTAGGTGGAATTTGTGCCATGCTCGAAGAAAAAGAATCAGTAGAAATATATTTTAAACTTGGTCCCATTTAAGACAGTTTCCAATATGGTTTCAGATCATCTGCTAGGAGTAGGGCAAGCTGAATAGGGTATCACTTGAAGCATTGGAGCTAAGGGTCCAGGTCCTTGCTTAGCTTAATGATTTCTGTCCCAGAAACAAGCACAGGGATCTCACAGAGCCATCCAAGGAGGAAGGTTGTTTTCTTGTCCTAAAACAAGGTGGGAGGATTGTTTGCCTTCGGTAGACCCTGTAGTATTTATGGAAGCAATAGGGGAGAACACATGTGCTCCATCTCTGTCTCATTTGCAGACATCTGTATCTCAGGGAAACATTACGACATTGTTCTGAACAAGAAACTGATGTTTATCTACTCAAACTTTAAGAGATACCTGCATGCTCACTGATCATTTTTATAGACCCCATGTGGGAGATAGAGCTATAGTGCTGTAAGAAAAGAGTGAGTTGTGATGACTGTTTCAGTGGGGAAAAGATGGTCTTCACAACGTTTCACTCCCCCATGTGAGGACACTCCTTGCAGCCTGCATGTCGCTATGAAAGCCATGTATCTTATGGCATACACCAGATTCGCTCCCCCATGTGAGGACACTCCTTCTTGCAGCCTGCATGTCGCTATGAAAGTCATGTATCTTATGGCATACACCAGATTCATAGATGACATAAATTTATTCAGTTCCACTGATGTCAAAACTGATTGACATTGCCTCCAGATTCGAGGCAGTGCTCGATCTGCTCTATGGTTTCCCTCGCTGACTCACTTGGTTCTTTGAAGGATTTATCTCATTTTTTCATCTGTTGTCAACAGCATGAATTATTTTGAAGTTTGTTATTTTCTTTTCTTGTCTGATGGGAGCTGGCAGCTCCTGCCTAATCCTTGCACAAATGAATGTGGCAGCGGAGTATCAGGAAGCAGAGCATTGTGAAAGCAAACTGGGGTCTTCTTCATTGAAGGCAAACACGCCCAAGCTCTATGAAAGCCCAATCATCATTCCCTTCCCCTTGTTTTCTGCATGCTTGCCGCTGTGACAATATGGAAAATCATTGCTGAGGGTCAATTGTAAAGCTTAGCTACTGGAGAGAGCCATTGGTGCTGAAATACAAGTGATTATGCAGAAAGCAGTAGAAAGGGTATCCCATGAACAAAGTGAGAAAATCGATCTAGAGGACATCACGAAACAACAGTGCTGGGAGAGCAAATTATCTGCTGTATGAAATCTGGTCTTAGCTCACTAACACAGGCCAGATGTGTTACTCCTATATGTGCAGCCCTAATCACTTGTGAGCCCTAATAACCAATCTGTAATAGCCATTCACATAACAACATGTAAATAACTGCAGAAGGAGTGATGACCAAGATGCAGTGAAATATGCTGGATGGGAAGCTGGTGTTATCATCAAACCAGCTGGTGTACAGACAGGTGAAACAGTGTCGGTGGTGTTCCCAGCTGATGTTCCAAGTGGAGAGACTAACACTTTACATAGAAGAAATGGGGAGGTCAGCTTTCCCCTTTTCTGCTGTCCCTCTTTGCAAGGATGTCACTGTGTGTTGATATTGGGCATCCTTTTCAGCTGGAGAGGCTGAAGAAGCTTTAGGGATCACAGGCATGACACGGTGAGTATTTCTGAACAGGACAGTAGAAAATTCCCACAGATCTCTTGGTTTCCTCTTTTTAGAGTGACACCTTGAAGCTGGCCAAGGAGCTGTCAGACACAGTTGTCTACTGCAAGAGTGTCCATTTCAATGGCTTCGGAGACCCTGGTCACCCTCGGGCTTTCTATGAGATGTCATCATTCTCAGAGAGCAAAGCTCTGAAGCTAGCTCAGGAATCTGGTATGTACATTCTGTCCTGGCAAAAGACTGTCCTCTGCCCCAATTCCTTACAAAGACAACAGCTACCGGTTGTCAAACGTGAGCAGATGGTGTCCCCAAAGATGTAGGTCACAGTCTCCTTGGCCATGAATGTCATGATGAGAAACAGTAAGAATAACTTTATGTTGTAGAAGCTATTATCAAGAAGGATATTTTATACAGGCAACTCACATACAGTCAGACCTTCTAGGCAAAGAAGCAATATATATGACATTAAGAAGAGAGAAATGTAGCCCCTGTCACTGAAAGGAACATTTTCTTCTTTCTCTTTTTCATTCTTATTTTTGTTTTTCTGTAGGAAACAGTTTTATTCATCACAATATCAGGCACCTGAGTCGGATCTACCCTGCAGGCTGGAGGACAGATTCCTCCAACTATAACCCCATCGATTTGTGGAATGTTGGATGCCAGATCGGTGAGTACAATGGACGAACGTAGTGAAGACGGTGAACATAGGCAGGTCACCCATGATCTGGCGTGGTGGGACTTTGACTGAGGTCCGTGTGTGGTCTCAAGACACTTGCTGGCAGAGAGGCTCAGTGGTCACCTGGACAGATCAGCTGTTCAGTCAGTGCTCACTGGCTTTACACAGGGCATATCCTGGCCTACCTCATTACCACTAGAAGAACTTTTCTGCAAATTAATGAGCAATCTGTGCTCATTGTATGAAGAGTTCAGGTAGTGAAGAGTTTAGCCAGCAGAGGCATTAATGGCTCTAAGGGTGACAAAAGGGGTTGTTAAAGTTGGACTGGGAGGGAGGCTTCATAGTGAGGCTAGGCAACCGAAGAATTGTCTAGATTCATGGCAGGAGATAATTCCTTCAGAGCAGAAATGAATGGGTTTATTTGAAAGATGAGGTTGTTCAACCAGATGATATAAATTCAATGCAGGATACTCTTTGACTCAGCTGTCAGCTCACCCAGTGCCAGGGAGCTGGGTAACTGGAATGGCTGTAATAGTGTTAAATATGTGAAATCCTCCAGGAAGGCAGGCTGTAAGGGGTGGGGTATATCACTGCTCTGCGCACATTAAAGAACCAGTATTTATATCCAGAAGTGTCATTTTGGGTGGGCAGAATGAGTATAAAAAGACTCCCATTGATTTGCTTGAAAGTGACTGAATTTATATATTTATATTGCAGTGGCCCTGAATTTCCAGACAGCAGGCACAGAAATGGATGTCTACCAGGGTCGGTTCCAGGACAATGGGTTTTCTGGGTATGTCTTAAAGCCAGAATTCCTCCGGGATGAGCAAACCAAATTCAATCCAAAATCCATCACAGAAGGATCATGGGGGACAAGGAAGAAGCTTGTGCTTAAAGTAAGTATAGAATTTGGAAAATTGTATCATTAGCATCCACCTTGGGAGGCTGTAGGTTGTACTTCCTCTTTCTGGTAGTCCTACCTGAGCAACATTATCCTAACCCCACTATTTCCAACAGTCAGTCTTTGGTTCAGTCCTGTACAGTCTCTGATCCTTTCTAATGCCTTACACTAGGAAGGGTCAATGACAAAATACCCTGTACAGGAAGACACAGACATCTTGTAGGCATGCCATCAGCAGTGTCCTCTGATATTTCACAGA